CCTGGTTGGGAGTCTTCCTGTCCTTCACAGTCCCTCTACCTTTTCAAGCATGATGTCCTTCTCCAATGAATAGCCTCTTTTAGTAACATGCCCAGATTATGTGACACAAAGCTTCATCATCCTGACCTCCAAGAAGCACAATGGCTTCATCTTCTCCAAGACATATCTGTCTATTTTTTTGGCAGTTCTTGGGATTTTCAATACTCTACTCCAGCAACACAACTCAGAAGGATCAATATTTTTTTTCTATCATTGTTATTCATTTTCAAGCTCACTGAAGCATAGTAAGTGATTTAAAAGATCATGGTCTGAATCAGGTGCACCTTAGTCCTCAAGCTAACATCGTTACTCCTCAATAACTTGAAGAGGGCCCTGACTACAGACTTTCCCAGTGCAATATGTCACCTAATCTCCTAACATGTAGTATCAAATATATTGGATATAGGTCCAAGTAAAATGAAGTAATTGACAGTTTCAATCTTTTCTCCCTTTACCATGATGTTGCCTATCAGTCCAATGGTGAGAATTTTTGTTTTCCTGGTGTTGAGATGCTACCCATATTGAAGCCTGCAGTGTTTGATTTTCTGAAGCAAATATTTCAAGTCCTCCTCACTTTAAGCAACATTGTATCATCAGCGTGCTGAATATTATCTATGAATCTCCCTCCAATCCCAATGTCACATTCTTCTTCACATAGTCCAGCTTCTTCAATAATTTTTTCAGCATACAGATTAAATAAGTATGGTGAAAGGACACAGCCCCAAACCATGTCTTTCTTAATTTTAAACCATGTAGTGTTCTCTTGCTCTGTTCGCACAACATCCTCTTTGTCTGTGTATAGATAGCACATGAGCACAATTAATGTTCTGGGATTCCCATTCTTCTTAATATTAACCATAATTTACTATGATCCACACTGAAATTTATTTAGACCTAGACAGATAAAGTAAGGCCATCCAAGCAGAGTAAGTGTTATAGCCTTTTTTGGGATGTAAGTAAAAGGATATTCCCAGTTTGTACCTTGGGGACTCCTTGATGAAATGTAGAGAGCACTAGAGTGCATTCTTGCACCAATATATCAAGGCACACTTGCAGACTTTGTAATTTTGAGAACATTTTATTTAAATAAGCTAGTTTGAATAATATATTTATTATTAGTAACAAAGTGAATATAGAATACAGGCAAATATTTCCATCAATTCACAATTGTTGTAAACATTTTCTGTCTAGTCAGTGATGAGATGTACTTTCACACTAATGATATTAGACAGTGCCTTTTCTCTTAACCTCAATTATGTTACTTTAAAAATTAATATATGGCAACATTCCTTCAAACCATAGGGAAACCTTGGATATAAGGATATGAGAGGGCAACGAACAATTTTTTTTTAATTTTACTTTTTACGAAAGATTTCTTGGAACATTTGAGTGACAAGGATGGTATAACTCCAAATTAGTTTTCAGCTTTTTTCCAGTTTCATCTGCTTACTATACGTGTGTGTAGAGATAGAGAGAGAGAGAGAGAGATTATACATATACCTATACATATATTTATATACTTTTAGATATGTTTATATAGATATATTTATATACATATAGATATATATGTATATAAATATAGATATATAGACTTATGACTTTTATGATTTATGTCTAACAAGCAACTTTTAAATAAGCCTCTTTTGACAAGTTTTATGGTTTTATTTTTGCCTCTATCACTCCATCTCATCCGTGAACCATCTGTATACCTTCGCTTTCATTAAACAATGATTTTCCATAGTACATATTACAGTCCTCCTCTCTCTTGAAAATTTTGCTAACTAAAACCAGCAGCCAGGAAATTAAAAGGCACACTGCCATGGGAAAGTCTGCTGTTAGGGACCTCTCCAAAGTACTGAAGAGCAATGGTGTCTCTTTGGAGACTAAGGTGCATCTGATACAGGCCATGGTCTTCACAATCACTTGTTATGCATCAGAGAGTTGGACAATGACCAAGGAGGATAGAAGGAGAATTGATGCCTTTGAGCTGTGCTGCTGGAGAAGAGTATTGAGAATGCCATGGACTGCTAGGAAAACAAACAGATTTGTCCTGAAAAGGGTTAAACCGGGGGGCTCCTTGGAGGCAAGGATTCTGAGGCTCTGTCGAACATACTTTGGACATGTTGTGAGGAGAGACCGGTCCTTAGAGAGGGACATCATGCTTGGGAGGGTGGAGGGACAGCGCAGGAGAGGAAGGCCCTCTATGAGGTGGATTGATTCAGTGACTGGGATAATTGGGATGGGAGCATCAGAGACAGTGCGATTGGCACAGGACAGAGCTGAGTTTAGAGCTGTTGTACATAGGGTGGCTATAAGTCGCAAGCGACTCGACGGCACATAACAACAACAACAACAATACTTTGTTCGGGTGACTGTCCTATGAATTGTATTTAGCAGAATCACTAGTTTCAACCAACTAGATGTCAGTAGTAAAATCTCCCTACTCAGGTTGTGACAAACAAAAATGTTCACTCAAATAAAAACACACTGTTGTTGAGTTTATTCCAAATTTTGTGACTCTCCATTAGATTCACAAGGCTGTAAATCTTTACAGGAGAAGAATGTTCATCTCTCTTCCATGGAACAGCTACTGGATTTGATTGGTTAACCTAATTGATAGGATAACTTTTCACTTAGCTGCCTAATACAATGCCCTAGGACAAATGTCCCCTCCCTTTGTTGTTGTTGTTGTTGATTGCCGTCGAGTCTATCACAACTCATAGCAACTCTATGAACAAAAGGCCTAATACCTTTCCATAAATATCGTCATTACCGCTGAAAGGGGTAAAATTTCCCTGTCCAAGTTGAAACTAACTGCTCTACAAGGTTGTGGCTTGGGAAAATAAGTTGCTTCCCTTATTGCCCTTTGAAGATTTTTATTTCTCTTTTCAGTATGCTGAATCTACTCACTCAGGAACTCTGTTCTGATGAAATCCACTGCAGGGTCAGCAATGGGTAGGTATCAGGATATGTAGGACTTTCAGCAATAGAGAGCTACAACAGGAATTAACCATGAGAATGTTGAGTGAAAGAACTTGGTCCCCAAAAGACAAATAGTGTATGATTCCACTTATATGAAATGTCTAAAATAGGCAAATTAATAGATGACAAAGTTTAGTAGTGGTTACTACAGGCACACTACATCCTTCAATAAGGATTGCATCTCAACATCAAGAAAACAAAAAATCCTCACCACTATATCAATAAGCAATATCATGATGTTGTTGTTGTTGATTGCCATTAAGTCTAGCATGACTCATAGCAATCCTTTGAACAAAAGACTTGAAGCCTTTCTATAGCTATTGCCATTTCACAATGTTTATAGAGTTTACACAGGCATGCTGTTTAGGAAGTGGATGCCACTGCTGATTCCAAATATCATGATAGATGGATAAAAGGTTGAAATAGTCAACAATTTCAGTTTACTTGGATCCCCAATCAACACTATTGGTACCAGCAGTCAAGAGATCAAAGGATATCTTGCATTTGATGGGTCTACTGTCAGAAAGTTCTCCAAATTACTTAAAAGCAATGATGTCAGTTTTAAGACTAAGGTATGCCTGATTTAGGCTATGAGCTTTTCCATCACTCGGTATGCATCTGAGAGCTGGACAATAAATAAGGATGACACAAGAAGATGTAATGCCTTTGGGTTGTGGTATTGACAAAGAATATTGTATATACATGTTGATTGTTATAGAAAGACTCCAGGCCTTTTGTTTCTAGAGTTGCTATGAGTCATGCTCATTTTGATGGCAATCAATAACAACACCACGGTCTGACAAAATACATGTTTTGGAGAAAATGCAGCTCAAATTCTTGAAGGCAAAGATGGCAATGCTTTATTTACATACTTGTGGTGAGAGGCTACCCCTTGGAGAGTGACATCGTGTTTGGAAAGGTGGAGGGTCAGCAAAAGAGAGGAAGACACTAAGTGAAATGGATTGACATAATGACTGTGACAGTGAGCTCAAGTGTGTTAGAGATGATGATAAGAGTGGCACAGGATAGGACATATCTGTTGCTACAGGTTGTACTTGACCTGACTTCACTTAACAACAAGGACTTGGAGGAATGGAAAAGAAAGGGTGACTAAATGCTTCAGAAATATGAAGCTTCTGTTAAAATTGATGGAATAATCTGAAACTGCATAGTGGTAATGGTTGAACAAGATGATGAATTTCATTAAATTTATATGTTAAAATATTAAAATAGCAAATGCTTTGTCACATACATATTTGTCATACACACATATGTAAAAAAGAGGAAATTCTACTAGTCTTTTGGAAATGCTCTTAATCTGTGTCGACATAGTACTTGCAGTTGTTCCTATGTGCTTTTCAGTTCAGAGCAATTCTTAGCTGATCTTCCATTGAGTTTTCAGAGGCACAGAAGACTGCCAACCCTTCACTGTGATGGAACAGCTGGCATCTGGTGAATTTGAACCATATACCTTTGGGATTGCATCTAAGCTTCTTACTACCAGTCTACCAGAGCTCCCTGGCATTTGCAATTGTTTGTTTAAATTTATCAACCACAAACCACTTCCTTAAAGAAGCAAAGTAAACTAGCACTTCTTATTTTTTGATGGGTGAAGGCAAGAGCAAGCCAAAAAAAATGAATGACTAGAAATCACATTTATTAAAATGGTCTGACAAGGGGAATTGTGAGAGAAGGAGAAAACTCCCAGATGCATAGCAAGTAACTGCAAAAACCATGGCCTGAATCAGGCACACCTTACTCTCTAGACCGACATCTTTGCTCTTCAGCACTCTGGATAGGCCCCTGAAAGTAGATTTTCCTAATGGAAATCTTTTAATTTCCTGACTGATGGTACCTAGAGTGTTGACTGGGGATCCAAGCAAACTGTAATTGTTAAAAATGTCAATCTCTTGGGCTTGAGGCGGGACCTACGCAGCCAGCTTCCTAAAATGAGAGGGCCAAGTTGGTTCCTCTTTGCAATGGAAATGGTCACTTCTTCTGATCACTCCCTAGTTTTGGAAAGTGAACATCCTCAAGAGACCCCAGAATCCAACAACGGCGTGTATACTTCCTTCATGAAGTCTCATTGCTGCTATGACCCGATTCACACAAATTCCAAATTTTTTGTATTTGATACTTCCCTGCAGGTGAAGAAAGCTTTCTTTGCCTTGGTGACTAATGGTGTACAAGCTGCCCCTTTGTGGAACAGTAATAAGCAAAGTTTTGTGGGTATGCTTACCATCACGGACTTCATCAATATCCTGCATTGCTACTGGAAATCGGCCTTGGTAGAGATCTATGAACTTGAAAAACAAAAGATAGAAACTTGGAGAGAGGTGTACGTAAAGGACTCCTTTAAACCACTTGTCTGCATTTCTCCCAATGCCAGCTTGTTTGATGCTGTCTCATCATTAATTCGAAACAAGATCCACAGGCTACCAGTTATTTATCCAGAATCAGGCAATACATTGTATATCGTCACCCACAAGCGTATCCTCAAGTTCATCAAATTATTTATCGCCAAGTTCCCTAAGCTAGAGTTCATGTCTAAATCTCTGGAAGAGCTGCAGATTGGCACCTATGCCAACATTGCTGTGGTCGGTACTACCACCCCTGTCTATATGGCTCTGGACATCTTTGTACAGCACCAAGTTTTTGCCCTGCCAGAGGTGGACGAGAAAGGGCATGTGGT